CGAAACATAAGGGCATGCGTACACACATGGGCACACACATGCACACGCACATGCACACACACAGAGACTGCGAGCAGCAGTGGCCATGATGTAAACAAGCAGCGAGTCCGCGTAAAGCACACGCGGCAGTCACTCATTCGGCTCTGGCAGCTTTCCTATCACCTGGAAGTGACATCAGAACGGAAAATCTCTGAAAGTCTGTGCGTCATTCTCGGTGGACGGTCCCTGAGCAGTGACGAGGGACAGAGGTGGGGGCCAGGTGCGGGGAGCCCTGTGCGTTGGAGTTTGATGGCACCCGCTGTACTCCTGACGCAGCGCTGGGAACAAGGAAGGACGGCCCCGTGACACTGCACCCGGGGCTGCAGCGGGGTCGGACAGGCCCGTCGAGCTGACCGCTGCTGCCCTCCGGAGTAAGCCTTCACACACGCTATTCCCAAGGGCCCTGGTGGCGCAGCGGATAAGCCCTCAGCTGTGAACCAAAAGGTCAGCGGCTCCGTGGAAGAAAGATGAGGCAGTCTGCTTCTGTAAAGACAACAGCCTCGGAAACCCTCCAGGGCAGTCCCGCTCTGTCCTCCAGGGGCGCCATGAGAGGTAACCAGCTACCTGCCAACCAACACCTACCCTTCCCCTGAAAGTCGAGACCTGGCCTGACGGCCAGGGCTCGCACCCTACACGCCCCCTGCTGGCCGAGCTGCACAGCCCCCACCCGGCTGAACCACAGCTCCGTGGCAACAGGTCCCGATGGTCTCTTCCCAGGCTTGTCTCCCCCACGGGTGTGTGGGTGACTTCATGCCAAGGCCACAGCCTGGTCCCCTGCCCCAGCAGCTAGCAAGAGACCAGGTACGCACATGGAGGCCGGCTGACTCGGGTCAGCTGCAGCAACTGACAGGAAAACACACGGTCATGCCTCAGAGCCCAGCCACAGCGCACTACAGGGGCACCGCCGGGCCCCCCCCGTAAGGGTGTGTGTGCCCAGGACCAGTCTGTCCCCACCCAGGCCTGGCCAGGCCCTCTGCAGCAAAATGGCGGGTCATACTACACTAACCCCTCGCCCCACAGGAGGCAAAGGGAGCTGTCAGCTCTGGTCAGCGTGTCAGGCTCAGCCCTGCAACCCCACGCTCCTCTCGTCACCACCCCAATGAAGAGCCTGGCTGACCTCACAGTGCTCACGGGGAAAGCTCAAAGCAGCCCAGGTCATACACATCCAGGGCCTGAGGAGAAGCCAACAAGAGGCTCGCGGTGAAGAGAATGGAACACACGACCTGGTCAAAGGGAGGGGCACACGCTAGTCAGAGAGGACAGAGGTCAAGGGGAGGGGGACATGCTAGTCACAGGAGACAAAGGTCAAGGGGAGGGGCACAGCAGTCACAGGGGACAGAGGTCAGGGGGAGGGGCACACGCTAATCACAGGGGACAGAGGTCAAGGGGAGGGGGCACAGTAGTCACAGGGGACAAAGGTCAAAAGGGGACATGCTAGTCAGAGAGGACAGAGCTCAAGGGGAGGGGCACAGTAGTCAAAGAAGACAGAGGTCAAGGGGAGAGAGTCCAGTAGTCACAGGAGACAGAGGTCAAGGGGAGGCGGGCACAGTAGTCACAGGGGACAGAGGTCAAGGGGAGGGGTCACACGCTAGTCAGAGAGGACAGAGGTCAAGGAGAGGGGACACAGTAGTCACAGAGGACAGAGGTCGGGGGGGGGCACACGCTAGTCAGAGAGGACAGAGGTCAAGGGGAGAGGGCCCAGTAGTCACAGGGGACAGAAGTGAGCACTTACATACCACCCCTGCAGTAACCCACGCGTGGATATGAGACACAAGCCAACAGGCGGGAAAGGAAGGGAGGGAAGGAGAGAGACAGAATGAGGGAAGGAAGGAAAGGAAATGCATCAACAAAACATGTCAACAACGTGGGGAGGACAGAAGCATCAGCAGTGCATGACACAGTAACACCGAGCAAAGGAGGAAGAGAGGACAAGAGGTGCAGACACCAGGGACAAGCGCTTACACCCAACCTGCGCTCCCAGTGATGGGCACTAAGCCCAGGGTGCACGGGCTGAACCATCAGGCACGACCAGGCAGAAAGGGTATACCCGTGACCGTACGTAAGGCTGGCAGACGACATTTCCACATAAGGATGCACATGGGCTATAAGAATGGCCAGGAGCTCTGGTGGCATGGTGCCTAAGGCATCTGACTGTTAACCAGAAGGTTGGCGGTTCAAATCCATCAACCACTTCTCAGAAGGAAGGCTGGACAATCTACTTCCGTAGTGATACTGCCTCAGAAACCCAAGGAGGGGTCGCTAGGAGTCGGGACTGACTCGACGCCAGCGGGTTTGGTTTGGTCCTTAGATAAGGATGTCCACATATATAATAGAGCTGGTAGGGGATAAAGTTATGATCATTTCTTACCCACAGCCAACCACCCTGACAGAGCAAGTTGTTAGGCCTGTGAGTTCAGAACCTTGGGGACAGTAAGCTCAACTGGCATTACATACTACACAAAAACACTGCTCTACATCCTACTGTGGTGAGTAGCAACTCAAGTTTTAGAAGCTTGCAAGCAGCCATCTATATGTAACAATGGGTCTCTCCTCATCCAAAGCAAAGAAAAATGAAGAAAACCAAAGACACATGGAAACAATTAGTCCAAGGGACTGGTAGACCGTGCGAACCTCAGCCTATGTAACTATGAGACCAGAAGAACTAGATGGTGCCCAGCTACCACAGTCCACCACTCAGAAAGGGATCAATGTAGAAGCCTGGATAGATGGGAGAAAAATGTGGAGCAAAACTCAAAATCATAAAAAAAGACCAGGCTTATTGGTCTGATAGAGACTGGTGAAACCCCCAAGATTATGGCCCCAAGTCACGCTAAAATTGAACTTACTCCCCTGGCTTCCAGCCAAACAACAGACAGGCATTTAAGGTAAACATTAATGCCAGGGACACACACTCCCTAGAACAACCAACCACGGTAGATCTGCAAGGCAGCACTGCCCAGGGAGACAGCTCAGAGGACAGGAATGAACAGGAAAGAAGGACACAGGGAAAAGGCAACCACAGGGAGCAAGTGGGAAGAGAGCTGCTACGTTTTGCGGATTGTAATCAGGGCCATGAAACAAACTGTGTATGAACTGTTGGACACAAGATGAATTAGCTCTGTAAACTTTCACCCCAATCACAATTAAACACCAACCGTAATGAATGCCTTGACGATACAAGCTGACTTTCAGAAGGTCACTTATGCACAGAAGTGTGCGCACTACATGCACTACATGGCAGGCTGTCTCTCTGGAACCTTCCTCTGTTTCTGAAACAACAAAACCAAGCACACATCCCACAGAGGACGACGGACTCACCGAGGTCTGTGTTGGGACCAGCGAGGAGCTGCTGGAACTTGTCAAGCCGGGAGGCCTCCCTCTTGCTGAGGGCCGAGCTGCTGAGGACACTGTGGTCGGCCGTTCCACCGCCCAGCACCACGGGGTGGGGAAGAGACTGCGAGCGTTGCAGGGGGGCCGTCTCGCCAGCGCCTTCTGCAGAAGAGCAGAGAACGGGGGATCAGGACGCACCTCCCGGACTTCTCTCGAAGCCACGTTCTTCATTAGGAGGCCCCACTTCCTGCATCCTCTGTCCCTGAATTCAAACAGCAGCCTGCAGACCAATTCCACAGATGAGCATGTGACTGTGGCTGTGTCATGACTGTCCTTCCTCCTGGGGACCTGGCTTCTGTGAACAAGAAATGGAATGGCCTACAGCCTCTGATGCCCACCTGCCTCATTGCTAGAGCAGTACTCCAGCAAGCGGGCACAACCAGACGGAGCCAGAGGGACCACAGGGAAGTCCGGAGCAGGATCGGGTGTGTGAGGCAGGCAGGGCTCCCAGCCCACGGAGGGCTGGGCAGGGCTGGCCCAGTGGCTGGGACCTGAGGGAGGCAGGTGGGTGCTGGCGTGGTCACCCAGGCCTGAGCATCAAGGGGCGTACTGAGTCCCGTGGGAAGGGGTGAGAGAAGACCCCCAGAGGCACCAAGGGCAGGAGGCCAGGCCCAGGACAGGCCCGTGGCCAAGGATGTGCCAGGAGACCCCCCAAGTGTAGCTTCACTGCCCACCCCTCATCTGAACCTCCCCACTCCACCACAGCCCCACGAGGAATGGGGCTGTCACCCCCACACAGGCAATGACGCAGCTGGGACCAGGCAGATGGCAAGCCTGCAGACCCCGCCCAGAGCTCTCTGCCAGGCTCACCTCATCACAGCCAAAGAACCGCCACAGAGAAACGCCTTGGGCCACCTGACAAAGGAGCCCTGGGGACTGACCTGCGCAGCCGCAGAGAGAGTGTCACACGGAACCCACCGGCCGCTGAGGAGCAGGCACAGGGTCCGGGGCAGGAGCTGCCCAGTCACTTGCAGAAAAGCCTGCCGCGGTGGGGGCCAGTTCAGAGTACCTCGCCAGCTCCGCTCCCCTCGGTCCCTGCTCCAGGCGCCCCATCCCAGGTCCAGCCCTGCAAGTGCCTGGAGCTCAGCCCCCACCCTGCCAGGAGGTACCCAGAAAACACCATCCTTTCCACTCAGCCTCAACTCTGAGAAAAGCAACCCACACCCACTGCCATGGAGTCTATTCCGACCCACAGCGCCCCTAGAGGACAGAGTGGAACTGCCCACAGGGTCTCCAAGGCTGCTATCTTTATAGAAGCAGACTGCCTCATCTTTCTCCCAAGGAGTGGCTTGTGGGTTCGAACCGCTGGCCCCTGGATTAGCATCCAAATGTCCTAAACACTGAGAGTCAGCACTCTAGAAGAACAATCGGCATAGTGTGAGAGGAGGGCTGGGGGGACACTCCAAGCTCAGGTTCCGTCCTTGCAAGCCCGTCCGTCTGACTGAACGGGGAGCAGCCAGGAGAGAGGACTCAGCAGAACAGCCCCCCGCCACCCTGGAACAGAATGTGCTCAGATTCATTCCCCGTGATCTTCAGAGACGACTGACCTGACTGTACTGAGGCAACTACACACCCACTTAGCACAGTCCCGCTGGGGCCCCTGCCGGCAGCGAGGCCGCTGGAGTTCCAAAGATAGAAGCGGCAGCAGCGTCCCCCGTGAGAACACTAAGACTGACAACCAGGCTGCACGGTCACTGGAACAGACAACAACCCTAAAAGACACCACCCGCAACGGCTGGCGTTCCCACAGACCCCAAGGCACACTTGAGCCCCTCCAGGGCCCCCCACTGCCCCGGGCCTCCCAGAGCCTTCTCAGCCTGAAGTGTGTCTGTGCGGTTAACCCAAAGGGCACCACCAGCAGACCAACCACGGGGCATCTGACTGCAGGCGCAGGGAGCCATTTCTCAGGTATTTATTAGGGTCAGAAAAGGCAAGAGGTGAGGAAAAGGCTGGTGAAGGAGGCTCGCACCTGCCTGCCCACCCAGCACCACCTCTGTACTTTCGCCCGGCCGTCTACCCAGGGCTAAGGCCACAGGTGCTGAGGCAGGCCTCCCAGGGCCGGCCAGGCGCTCCCAGGGCCAAGCACAGCAGCTGCAGTAGCTGCCCGCCGCCTGAGAGCCTCCGAGCCGCACAGGTGAGGCAGAGTGTCCCAGGTGTGCCGCTGTAAGGAGCCTGCTGAGATGAGCAGTCACCACCTCACAGCGCACACCTCCATGGCAAGAACCCCATGGCAGGGCACGGCTGGGAGCAACCAGGGTCACCAGGCCCGTGAGGAAAACCGTGTACTTAGGAAGCATGGGTGTAATTACAGGAGGCGCCAGGGAAAGAGCAAGCCAAGCGGCCACAGTCCCTGCCTTCAAAGGACCTTGGAACATGCAGTCGGAGCACGCAACGCCACCGCACCCTACGAACGGGCAACCTGGCCCCGCCTCCACCTGTGCTCGCCACCCAGCCCCTGCCGACCTTAACCCCCGGGCCCAGCCGAGCCCATCCAGCCTCCAAAGCACAGATGGGGGCCAGAGACCTCATGCTGGCACCCTGCTGGGAGGCGACAGGAGCAAGTGGCTGGGGACATCCAGCGCTTCCTAGCAAGACTCCCACACCACAGAAGTGACCTCAGGGACTTGGGCCTTCCACGGACCTGCTCTCAGTGATAATGGGAACCCCCTCTCCCGCATGGAAGGGCTTAGTCCACAGACCCACTCTCAGTGATAATGGGAACCCCGTCTCCCCCATGGAAGGGCTCGTCCAC